GCTGGGGTATGCGTGTTGGTTTGCAAGTAATTTTTCTGTGTGGTTGCATCTGTATATGTGCATGTCAACATGCATTTGTATCTGTTTTCCTGTGTTTGTGGGTATGTGTTTACTTCTAGGCTTGTTAACCTGGGATGTATCTGTGTTTTTGTACCTGTGTGTTTTTGAGTCCAGAAAAGGGGAGGTCTCCCATACCCTTTCTGAAGCCCAGGAATCCAAAGTGGGGATTGCATTTGCTCAGGCCCCACACAGATAAGAAATTGAAGTGCAAAGAGGTAAAGTGGTATGCCCAGTGTCACAACGTTGGTAGAGAGCAACCAGGGCCTGAACCTAACCCTGCTCAGCTTTTTAGTCTACCATATGTTCTCTCTGTGTGTATATATTAGAGAGGGAAAAACCCCCACAGCAAAGGGCTGTGTTTTTTCCCCCATGTGATTGACATGGCCTCTTTGGTGCTCTGACTTGGAAGATTCCACATCCCAGGTCCTGTTTCTTCAGCAGTGTGTGTGGCATCAGGAGCAACCCTCTCAAGCACTTGCCTTTTTGACAGGCCCCCTCTTGGTAGGCTGTTGACTCCTACTACTATTTCCTTTGCAACCAAAAAAGAGGAGAGCTCTCAAGGTGTGTGTGTGGGGGGGGGGGATGAGTGGGAGGGGGAATTGTCAAAGAGTTGCGATCCAGAGGCAATACAGATCGAGGAGTGGGGTGAAACAAGATGTTTGCATCCACATTTCTCACTTATTAGCTGTGTAACTGTAAGCAAGATAATATTACCTCTCTGAGCCTCAGTGTCCTCATCTATAAAATGGGTGCCTGCCTCAATAAGTTGTGCAGATTCAATGAGCTTAATTAATTCTCCTGTCCTAGGAACAAAGAGCCTTCATAATGCAGTGGACTAAATGTTGAGCTAACTGAAAAGTCGGTAATTCAAACCCACCAGCTGCTCCATGGAAGAAAAATGAAGCAGTCTGATTCTGTAAAGATTTACAGTTTGGAAACCGTATGGAAGAGTTCTACTTTGTCCTACGGGGTTGCTATGAGTTGGAATCAACTCACAGTAGTGGGTTTCCTTTGGTTTTGGGTCCTAGAGAGGGAGATGGGCCTGTAAGTCAGCCTGTGTGGAGTGGGTAGGCAGGCACACCTGAGCTAAATGTTGACGGGCAAGTTGGAGTTAGCTACGTTGGGGTAATGAGGCAGAGGACGTGGGGGGGGGGGGTCTTCAAAAATTTCATGGAAAAATCCATTATATTTTAATTCTAGTTTCCCATGAGCTTTTTGAAGCCCCCTTGTTTATAAGGTTGTGCTCAAGTCAAGAGAACCACCCATGCATGACTGGTAAGAAAGTTGGAGGTGATTCTACAAATGGTGACTCCTGTAAAACCTAAATTAGATCACGTCCCGCCTTTGTTCATCTAAATAAGAGCAAAAGCCAGTCTTTGTAGAAAGCTCAATCCCCTTCACAATTTGGCCCCTATATTACTTTACTCACTCTGCTCCAGCCACACGCGCCTCATCAGTGTCCCTCAAACACTCCAGGCACAGTTCCATCCTCAACACTGCTCTTGCCTAGCCCCACAGCTCACTTGCTTACTTCCATCCGGGCTCTGCTTCTAAGCTATTTCTTCAGAAAGACCTTCCCTGATAACCACATTTCAAACAGCACCTTCTGTAAGTCTGCTTTTTTTTTTTTTTTTCCTTCCTAGCACCTATTCCTACCTAAATTATAAACCCCAAAGCCCAAATCCACTGCCAACAAATTGATTCCGACTCATAGCAACCCTATAGGATAGAGTAGTGCTTCCGAGGCTGTAAATCTCTACAGAAGCAGACGGCCTCATCTTTCTCCCGAGGAGTGACTTGGTGGCTTTGAACCACCAGACTTTTGGTTCGCAGCCAAATGCTTAACCTACTGTGACACCAGGGCTCCTTACTTAAAGTATTATATATATTTGTTTGTTTGCTTATAGTGTGCTTCCTCCGCTAGAATGTCACCTCCATGAGGGAACAAATCTTATGCATCTTATTTACTATTATATTCCCAGCACCCAGCACTATGCCAAAGAGCAGTGGTAGTTCAGTGATAGCGTTCTCACCTTCCTTGCAGGAGAACTAGGTTCGATTCCCAGTCAATGAACTTCAGACACAGCCACTACCTGTCTGCCAGTGGTGGTTTGTATGTTGCTATGAGGCCAAACAGGTTTTAGTGGAACTTCCAGACAGATAAAAAGAAAGGCCTGGCTATTTACCTCCAAAAATCAGCCAATGAGGTCACAACGGTCCATCCCGTTGTGCATGGGCACGCCATGAGTCAGGAACAACTCAGCAGCCATTAATAACAACAAAAGCAGCACTGTGCCTGGCACATAGAATGTGCTCAATTTCCACGGATAAGTTTTAAGTGGGAGAGTGAAATGATAAGATATGTACTTTTGGAAAGCTCTCTCTGGCCATAGGCTAGAAAATGGATTGGAAGAGGAGACTGGAGGCTATGGTAAAAGTTAAGGTGAGAATATTGATTAGAGCAGCTGCTAGAGCTCATTCATCCACTTCCTCACTGCAGAAGCTTTTATTGAAAACTTGTTCTGAGCCAGGCCCCGTGCTCTGAACTACCTAGGAGATTACAAAGTTCTCTTTCTATACGGAAATTCTGGGAGTCCTGAACACAAATAGCTGTCATGCTTTGCCAAGACTAACCTGGGCCATAAAAAGAAGAATCAACATGTGCTGTGGGGGGAGCTCTGAACAGCATCAGCAACACTTTCTGGCTAGAGGTAGGATTCAGGAGGGCTTCTTAGTGGTAGCATATGACCTGAACCTTGAAAGAACTGGGACATGGGAGTAGTTCTCAAATTGTAGGTGGCAGAGATGATGGACATTGCATTTCAGACAGAAGGTACTGTATGAGCAGTTTTTGATGTGGAAGGCAGAGGAGTAATTGGGAGAAACAGGAGCTGAGCCAGGCTGGCTGCCCACCCTGCAGTATAGGTTAGTGTTTAAGAATGTGGGCTCTGGAGTCCGACTGTCTGGATTTGAATCCTGGCTCTACCATTAATAGCTGTGTGACCATACATACGTTATGTAACCTCTCTGAACCTTGGTTTCCTTGTGTATAAAATGAATTTAAATAATAATACCTACTCCATATTGTCAACTTGATGGCACTTAACAACAACAATAACCCCATATTGTTGGTTGAAGGGTGAACTAGTTATTGAATGGGAAGTGATAAAAATAGTGCATGAACATATTAAGTGTGCTATAAGTGTTAGCTGTTGTATTTTGGAGACGCCTCAAATGCCAGAATAAGGAAGCAGTGGGAGCTATGGATGGTTTATGAATAGACAATATATGGCAGGGCTTGAGCTGTGTGCTGGGAGGGGAAAGGTTTGGAAGGGTGGTGGGCAGGGTCCTGCTGTCCTAACAGAGAGCAGCTTAGATGCCTGGGATGGGCTGGGCTGGGTCTGTCCCCTGTTAGGTGATGACAGGGTCCCTGAGGTCCTGGAGAAGAGAGTGTGTGAGGTGGAGAGCAGTCCCTCAGTCTGTTGTGTCCTGCTGCTGGCATTGCTGCAAACTAGCAGCACTTGGGAGGATAGAGGATAAGCAGTGGGTAGAAGTTGCCATCAGAGTGGGGCCAACAAGCCTTGTGGGTACAGCTTCCCCACTCCACCCTCAGCCCTCGGCCTTGCAGTCACCATGTGGTGCCTGCAGTGCTCTTCTGCAATGCTAACAGGCTTGCTTACAGCTCAAGCTCCTGCACTGTTAGGGAGCCCCCCACACCTACCCAGTTTGCCCCTACCCTGCAAAGCAGGGCTAGGGTGGCTCCTTAACGCTCTCATCAGCTAAGATTTTCCATAGCCCTGTGCTCCTCAAACCAGTCACTCTCTGGACCCCAGCAGTACCTATCACTGGACCCCAGCCACACCCATTTTTCCCCACAACCCCCTCCATGCCTCACCTGCTTGTACCTCTCCTCATAGCCCCTCTCCTGTTTTCTCACCTTGCCTGGCTTCGCTCAGGGCACCTGGGCTCTGTCGCCACCTGGGTTCCTTGGCAGCCTGGTTGCCATGGTACCATGGGAGTAGGTTCTGGCGGAACAACAGCTCTGAGTTGACAGGCAAGACCTGGTGCCCAGTTCCTGCCCCCCTTCTTCAGCTGAACAGAGGAGGCTATGAGGAGAAAAAGGAAGCTGCCTCGCAGGGCAGCTCTTTACCTGTGAGGATGCTGGATGGAATGCTGCTGCTTCTGTCACTGAGTCGGCGTCCCTGCAGCCAGGGAACCCTGGGAACTGGCCAGACCAGGAGTCCAGGCAGCTGAAAGCAGGGGTGGAGCTGCAGGGGGCAGGCGTGGGTGGGGGTGGGAGGAGGATAGGAGCCTCAATGGGCAGGATGTAGGAATGGGTCTCTGGTACTTGGGGACCGTGCTGAGACCGGGTGGTGCTGGAGATAATGCTGGGAGGAAAACCACACATAGCAAGCACAGTTTCCCCAGATCATGAAGGGATGGAACTATGAGGAGAGACGTCTAAGGGGTGGGCTGTAAGGGAACGGGTGTGTCATGAGAAGGAAGGTTTAAGAATGGAGCTATTTGGAGACAGAATTATTAGAAAAAAGAAGCTTGAGGAACTGGGAGGAAACTACTAGTCTGGGGATAAGGCTATGATGGGAAGTGGCCATGAGTAAGACCAGAGACAAGACTGTGGGAAGACAGATCCTTAAGGGAAAAGAGTCAAGTCTAACAAGATAGAGTTGTGAGAGGAGGAGTCTGTGAGGTGGGGAGATGATGAAAGGCAAGGGGGTCTGAAAGGAAGAAATTGTGTAGGCAGTGAGGAGACAATTTGAGGTGCCAGACTTCTCTCTGGCCTTTAAATGTTGGGTTCCCTATATTTGTGAGGAAGTTGTGGTGGATGAGGCTGAGGGGAGGGTACCCACCCACTTTTAGTCTGGCTCAGCAGGCCCCTCTGCTGTTCCCATATCCTGGCTCATCTTATTTCGTCCCCACAGTGTGGAGGGTGATACCCCAGGCAGTGACCTGAGCACAGCAGTTGATAGTCCTGGGAGTCAACCCCCCTACCGACTGAACCAGCTGCCCCCCACCAGCAGCCACATGGGGGGTACCTCTGTTGGAGTGGGCCTTCCCTGGGCTCAGCGAGCACGCCTCCAGCCAGCCAGTGTCGCTCTGAGGAAGCAAGAGGAGGAGGAGATAAAGCGCTCTAAGGCCCTATCGGACAGCTATGAACTCTCCACAGACCTGCAGGACAAGAAGGTGCTGAAGAAATGACTCTGTGGGAGTGGGGTGTGGATGCAATAGAAAACCAAGGGAGGGATTGGAATGTGGCATTTGAGGGTGACTGGAATTAGAGAAGACTGGCTTCAGGACCCCTCACCCTATTGGCGACTCATTAACTAATTCACCACTGAGTCTTGTATTAACTCAGCAAACATTTATTGCCAGCACTGGAGATATAAAGATGAGACCTAGACCCTGTCTTCAAAAAAACTCAGTCTATTAGAAGAATCACACACATAATTGACAATTTCAGAACAGTGTGATACTATATTGTTAACTTTGTATGTGCTTTTAGGGGACAAACTATAGAAGAAAAATACAAAAATATCTGGAAGGACATATACCAAAATGTTAACTGTGGCTATGCCTACCTAGGTGGTGGGGCTTTAAGTGAATCAGTCTTTCTTCCATCTCTTTCCCTTTCTCCTTCCTTCCCTCCTGTTTCCTTTCTTCCTTCTTTTCTCACTCTTTCCCTTCTTGCTCTCCCCCTCTTCCTTCCTTTGTTTCTCTCTCTTCCTTCTTCCTTTCCTCCTTCTTTCTCACAATTTAGTTAATCTTTTCTTTCCTTTTTGATTTCTAGGTTGTTGTTTTGTTGTTGTTGTTAAATAACATATACATCCTGTAAATGAAAGAAATAAAAATTGTGACAAGTGCTATCCCTGATTAAAGGTAGAGCACAGCATACAGCGAGAGCACAGTGTTAGTAGTTAACAGTGACTTATGTGAGTGTGCTTGAGGGCCCAGGGAGATGAGGCTATAGAGCATTTCTAACCTTGTTTCACTTGACCCTTCCCTGACAGGTGGAAATGCTGGAGAGGAAGTATGGGGGCTCCTTCTTGAGCCGCCGGGCTGCCAGGACCATCCAGACAGCCTTCCGTCAGTACCGCATGAACAAGAATTTTGAACGACTACGCAGTTCAGCTTCTGAAAGCCGCATGTCCCGCCGCATCATCCTTTCTAACATGCGGATGCAATTCTCCTTTGAGGAATATGAAAAGGCACAGAATCCCGCGTACTTTGAGGGCAAGCCTGCCTCGCTGGACGAGGGTGCCATGGCTGGTGCCCGGAGCCACCGGCTTGAACGAGGGCTCTCATATGGAGGCTCCTGTGGTGGGGGCATTGATGGTGGTGGAAGCTCTGTCACTACATCTGGAGAGTTTTCTAATGACATCACAGAGCTGGAGGACTCCTTCTCCAAACAGGTCAGGATCCCTGAAATGGACCTTTCTTCCCTATACCCATGCTGTAGTAACTCTTCTTACTTTTTACCTATACTCCAAACTGAAAGAAGTTGTACGACAAGCATTTAGTAAAAGCAAATAGCTACAATTTGAGTGGGGAAAATTATGAGAAAAAAAATTGCAAGACAAAAAAAAAAAGTAGCTAAAACTATCAAATTAAATATCTTGATGTATGGAACAAATAAGCAAATAAACTTTCCCACTATTTGGAACTGGATCCATGATCAAATTAAGTCTTAACTGATAGTAGTGAGCTTCTCCTGTGTGCCAGGTGCTGTGTATGCCTCAAAACAAATCTTCAAGACAGGAATTGTTCTCCCTATTTTATAGAGGAGGAGACTGAGGCTCTGAAAAGTGAAGTGACTTTCCCAAATTGGATTGGAACCCAGTTCTGTCTGATTCCAAAGTCCATGCTCTTTCCATTATTCCACACCACCGTGTACCAAGCTCTGTGCTGAACACTATAATGGAGGACAGGTGAGCTGGCCATGCTCCTTGTTCTCACGGATATCCCAGTCCAGTAGAAAATGGCAACTGTTACTGAGTCTTGAAATTGTATGTGCTCAGAACCCTGAAAAAGGATCATATACAGCACTTTGGGAACCCAAAGAAGGGAGAGAAATTTTTCTTCTGGGAGGATCTGAGAATAAATCTTTTTGAGAAAACATTACTGGAGCTGGGTCCTACCAGAGAGATACAATTTATTAGCAAGTTAGTAATAGTTGAGAGGGTGTCGCTCACATAGGCAAAAGCATGGAAGGTGTTGCTTACATAAGCAAAAGCATAGAAGGGTGGGAATCTAATAGGTAGTGATGGTGGTGGGAAGTCATTGTACACTTAGAATTTCAGGCATACCTGCCTTGGTTTAAGTCCCAGTTTTGCCATTTCCCTTGAGCCTTGAGCTCAAGTGTGGCCTTGAGCAAACAGTGTAAACTTGCTGAAACACAAGCAATAAAATGGATATAAAACCTTTTTAGAACTGTTTTTGAAGACTCAGTTCAACTATGGAATATATATAACATCATCTAGTACATGGTAGCTGCTAAGAACATGTTAATTTCCTTCCTACAGCCAAAGAGGTACTTGGTAGAAATTGTTGAATGAATGAATGAAGCTTTATATGAAAACCAGTCACTGTGCTTTAATATCTGTGATCTGGCCCAACCAGATCACAGATATTAAACATACTTCATTGGAACTAGTGAAGAAAGGAAGTATGGAAGGAAGGAGAGAAGAATTGAAGAGAGTATCTGTAGCATTCATCTTTCATTCATAAAATAAACATGCAATTGAACATCTGTTCTGTGTCAAGCAGTGTGTTGAGCTGAACTAAAGAGAGAAGCCAGCCTGGACCTAACCCTCAGGAGGGAAATGGGGGGAAAGGAACAAATCTGTTCCTAGCTTTCAGTGCTAAGTCTGGCTGGGGAATGTGTTAGTTATCTATTGCTGCATAAAAAATTACTTCAAAATTTAATAGTTTAAAGCTGAATTTAAACAATAAACATTTATTGTCTCATATAGTTTCTGAAGGCTAGGAATCTATAAATAGTTTGGCTACTGGTTCTGGCTCAGTGCTCTCATGAGGTTGCAATCAAAATTAAGGCTGGGACTGCAATCTTTCAGGACTTGACTGACACCAATGAGTCTGCTATCATGGTCAGTCACTCGACTATTGGCAGGAAGCATCAGTTCCTCACCTTTCCATAGAACTGCTCACAATGTGACTCCCCTCCCCTACCCCCATGTCCTGAGCAAGTGGTCTGAGAGAGAACACAGCAAATGAGAGTACCCAAGACAGAAGCTGCAGTCTTTTACAAGCGAATCTCAGAACTGATACATCATCATTTCTGCCATATGATATAGACCACACAAACCAAGAGTGATACAGTGTGGTATACAAGGATGTGAAAACCAGGTGAGAGTCTTTGGGAGTCATTTTGCAGGCTAGATATTACAGGAAGGCAGAGTTATCATACATGGTCCAAATTCTCATGGCTAAATATTATAGATTTTCTAAGAGAGGACCGGACAGACGGTTCTAGGTACCCAGAGGAAGGTGGGATCTTGGTTTACCCTGAGGGATGACAGAGGCAGGAATGTGGATTGAATCAGAAAGGAAGTAGCATTTGGCTTGGATCCACATGGACGTGAAGGAAGAATTGGTACATCTAAGAAGGAAATTTGTGGGCATTAGTCCCAGCTCCTGTGAGCTCACAATAGTTCCCTGGGAGTTATTTGTAGACATCAGGGAACCTGTCAGATGGGGGAGGGGAATATCTCTTCTTGGCCAACCCACCAGGAAAATTTCCCCTTCTTCCTCCCCACCTTCATTCCCACCCTACCACCCCACCCCACCCCCCATAATACTTTCCTTCATCTATCCTTCCTTTCTCTCCCTCCTCCCCCACAGGTAAAGTCTCTGGCTGAATCCATTGACGAGGCCCTGAACTGCCACCCATCAGGGTCCATGTCTGAGGAGCCGGGGGCAGGCCAACTGGAAAAGCGGGAGTCAAAGGAACAGCAGGAAGACAGCTCAGCCACATCTTTCAGTGACCTTCCTCTCTACCTGGATGACCCAGTTCCCCCACCATCCCCTGAACGACTGCCCAGCACAGAGCCCCCAACTCAGGGCCGGCCCGAGTTCTGGGCACCAGCCCCTCTCCCATCAGTTCCTCCACCAGTGCCACCAGGAACCCGGGAAGATGGTGGCCGTGAAGAAGGCACTCGTAGGGGTCCTGGGTGCTTGGAGTGTAGAGATTTCCGACTGCGAGCTGCCCACCTTCCCCTGCTTACCATTGAGCCTCCTAGTGACAGCTCCGTGGACCTGAGCGACCGCTCAGATCGTGGTTCTGTCCACCGCCAGCTTGTGTATGAAGCTGATGGCTGCAGCCCCCATGGGACCCTGAAGCACAAGGGGCCACCAGGCAGAGCCCCAATCCCACATCGACACTACCCAGCCCCTGAGGGCCCAGCCCCAGCTCCTCCAGGGCCCCTGCCACCAGCCCCCAACAGTGGTACTGGGCCCAGTGGTGTGCCAGGGGGTCGGAGGTTGGGGAAGTGTGAGGCAGCAGGCGAGAATTCTGATGGTGGAGATAACGAGAGCCTTGAGAGCTCCAGCAATTCTAATGAGACCATCAACTGCAGCTCAGGCTCCTCATCTCGGGACAGCCTGCGGGAGCCTCCAGCCACTGGCCTTTGCAAGCAGACTTACCAGCGGGAGACTAGGCACAGCTGGGACTCACCAGCCTTCAACAATGATGTGGTACAGAGGCGGCACTACAGAATCGGCCTCAACCTCTTCAATAAGTATGTGGTCTCTATTTTAGCCTACTCGCTCTTTCCTACGCTGCCACAGACACTTTAGCCCCCAAGACAGATCCTGATTCTGCCATTCTCTCATTTTGTGGAATGATGTTTCTCCTCAGCTGTTCAGGGAAGAGGATTGGTAACAGTATGGCAGAGTAGGGAAAAAAAAAAAAAAGCACTTAGTACTGCCACTGACTGGCTATGTGATCTTAAGCAGGATGTTCCCAGTCTTTTAGCCCTATTTTACACTCTTTAAGATGAATTTAGAACTTTGTCTGCCCTACCTTCCCAGACTAGGGTTCTTTCTACCCCATATTGGTGGGAAACAGTCTGGGAAACAGAAAACCTAGTCTGGGAAACAGAAAACCTGGACCTCTCGTCTGAATCAGGCCAGTCTCATTGTATAAACCTGGGCAAGATGTGTTCCTTTCCTGGGCTTCAGTTTTTCTATCTGCTAAATAGCAAAGGACTTCAAGAAGATCATGGAAACATTCCATTAACTTTTCATTCTATTTTCACATGAACTTTCTGAAGCCCCCTTGTATATTTGAGGTCTTAGAGGGTGCAGTGGAATGATGAACTAGTCAATGGCTTTGACTAAGCTCTTTCTAGGTACCTGCTCTTGTATTCGGCACTTAGGAGTATGGTGGGAGTATGATATTTGATTGAAAAATAATTCGAAAACAATGCCTTATATTTCAATAGTCTATTAAACACTGTCACGTATAAATAATTCTCATAATAACTTGGCAAGTTGGGTAGTAGTGTCCCTATTTTATAGTCAAGGACATTGAGGCTTGGAGAAGTAAAGGGAATTGCCCAGAGGCATATACAACTGGTAAGTGATGGATCTGAGATTTCGGTAGCACCAAAATCTCTTCAGAAGTCTAACCTTTGTTGGGTTTTAAGGTTCTGCGGTTCCAAAACTGGGAAGCAGTACCTGATAGACCCAGATTTCTGAAAAGTTGGGAACCCTATGCAAACATTGACAGAGGTTGGATGATAACTGCCCAAGTGAGACATGAGACATGACTCAAAATAACCTCTTCATTTTTTCCCCCTACTCTGAGGTTCTGTGACTTAAAGAGAAGGACTTGGCCTAGAGTTCAGGCCTTCTCTTGGGCCTGTTGTTAATATTAAAGCTCTTGGCATAGTTCAAACTCTCATTAAACATCAATTTTCTTTTAATTTTGGTGTGGCTCCAGTGAAGGAGGAGTTAGGTTGAAAATATGAAGGGGTTTCAAAAAATTCATGGAAAAAATGGAATGAAAAGATAACAGACTTTTTCCACTAACTTTTTTGAAGCTTCCTTGTACCTTGGAATTTTGATGCTCTATGAAATGAGTGAGTGACTTCCTCTTCCTGGTCTTCAGTTTTCTCATCTGTAACACGTAGGGATTAGACCAAATTCTGTATTTCCTTGGTTCTCTGAGGCCACAATTAGGCCCAAAAGTAGTTCAAGAAGTGGGGGGGGGGGGGGCACAGCTCCAGGAAGGCCATCATCTCATATATGTCCCCTCTTTCTGCAGGAAGCCAGAGAAGGGTATCCAGTATCTGATTGAGCGGGGCTTCCTGTCAGACACGCCGGTGGGAGTGGCTCACTTCATCCTGGAGAGGAAAGGCCTGAGCCGTCAGATGATAGGGGAATTCCTAGGGAACCGACAGAAGCAGTTCAACAGAGATGTGTTGGAGTGAGGACCCCAGGCTGGGCATGCTGGGCCAGGGATTCCTAGAGAAGGAGAGCAGGAGGGAAGAAGGGGGCAGCCTATTCCTTTTGCTCAGATAAACTTTGAAAAGACGATGAAGGGAACGTCCTGCTCCCAAAGGATTCAGTCTAATCTCACTTAACCCTATAAAGTCTTCTGTGTGGCATTGGACAAAGCATGTGTGTCCTGTGACCTTTTCCCATCTCTGCCACGAATTCGTTGATGGGAAGGGCCTTTGGTAACCATGTGTCCTTCCTGAATTTTCCAGAATGGACTCAATTTCAAATATTCTATCCTTATTATGGAGTACTGGCATGGTGCTGTAGGATAAGCACTGGACTGGTAACTGTAAGGCTGGCAGTTTAAACCTACCAGCCGCTCCTTGGAAACCCTATTACAGGTTCACTATGAGTTGGAACCAACACGGTGGCACACAACCACCATGCACCATCCTCACTATAGAGTTCTTGTGTGATGCTGTAGGATAATCCTACAGTCAGCAGTTCAAGCTCACCAGCCACTCCTTGGAAACCCTACACAGGGTCCCTAGGAGTTGAGACTTGACAGCACTTAATAACAACAGTATCCTCATTATATACTTGTTTAGGCCATGGATCTATATTTCAGAAGCCTGTCAGTGGAGGTATCCATTCAAGCAGGTCAGGGTGGGTAAAAGGTTTTCTGCAGAGGAATTGAGATCACCACAACCCTTCTTTCTTTACTCAGCTGTGTGGTAGATGAAATGGACTTCTCTTCTATGGATTTGGATGATGCACTCCGGAAATTTCAATCCCATATTCGAGTTCAGGGCGAGGCCCAGAAAGTAGAGCGACTCATTGAAGCATTCAGGTATGCCTGCTTCTTACTCCTGAAGCTGCCCCTCCCTACTTTGCATGTGAGGGAGGGGAGGGAGAGGTGCTATGTAGTATATGTTTACAAGCCACCTCATAGTTTCTTCACTATAAAACAGAAATTATAAATTCTATCTTGCAAGGCAATTGTGAGGCTCCCATGTAGTGTATATAAAATCTCTAACTTAGCATCTGGAACAGGGGCATTCAATAAATGACAACAAGAGCAATAGCTACTAACATTCACTGAGCACTTAACTGGGTATCAAGTGCTGAGCACTTAACATGATTATTTCACTGAATACTCACAAAACCCTATGAGTCAAGTACTTCTATTATTACTCCCATTTTGCAGATGAGGAATCAGAAGTTTAGAAAGATTCAGTAACTTGCCCAGAGTCATAGTGAGTAAATGGTGGAACCAAGATATGAACTTCAAGTCTGTATAACTCCATCATCCATGAACTTAACCATTATATTCTACTATAAATACTTTGGGAGTCAGACAGACTTGGGTATAAATCCTGGCCTCCACCACTATGGAATATTTAGAGGAGAAACAGAAGAATTGATAAAAACTTGTTTCCCATAATGGGAAAAGGATTTGCTCTACAGTCAGAAAGATTTAGGTTTTCATCCTGGCTTCACTTTTTGTTTTTTACCAGCTCTATTACCTTGGGCATGTTATCTCACCACTTGGAGCCTCAGTTACTTCATCTATAAAATGGGGCTTTTAATAGCTACCTTGCAGGATTGTGATTAGATTACATGAGACAGTGTACACAGAGGCCCTGGAAAAGCTTCATAAAAGATAGGGATTGTGGTTTCTATGTGCTAGTCTTAGGGGAAACTGAAGAGAACAGACAGACCCAAAAGACTAGAGAGGATTTCTTGAAAGAAAGGATTGGTGGTACCAGAGAGGGAGGGTATGCAGAGGTGGAGAATGCTGGTGCCTGAGTCTGGCCTTGGCTCCTTCTGCCCTGCAGCCAGCGGTACTGTGTGTGTAACCCAGCTCTCGTGCGCCAGTTCCGGAATCCAGACACCATTTTCATCCTTGCTTTTGCCATCATTCTCCTCAATACCGACATGTACAGTCCCAGCGTCAAGGCTGAACGCAAGATGAAACTAGATGATTTCATCAAGAACTTGAGAGGTGACCAGATCTGGGAAGGGAAACCGGGTGGTGGGGAGGGGGTGAGATGAGGGAAATTACACCTTCTCCCTGGAAATCAACCCATGATGCTTCACTTTCTGCCAAGACTGCATGTTCTCAGGGCTCCTATTTTTCTTCATTCACATATTCCTTGTCCATTTATTCATTCATGCACTGAAAATTTACTGAGCGTGTACTGTATATCAGACTCTCTCTATTCTAGATTCTGCAGTTATAGCAGCGAACTGGATAGATAAAAATCTTGGCTTCTTAAAGAGCTTACACTAAATCACTCATTTGCTCATCTGTTTATGCAGCCACTCCCTTTTTCCCTCTCTTCTTTATTTATGTCCATAAAGACTCATTTAATTATTTTAGGTACCCTTTCTCTGTTCATTCATGCATGCATGCATGTACGCATTTAACCAACTAACCAGCCAGCCACTCAACACTTACCAAGTGCTTAGTGTGTGCTGAGGACAATGAAGAAGAGTCTGCCACAGTCCCTGCCTAAGTGAGCTTCCTGTTTGTGGGAGAGACTGATTTGTACTTGGATAACTAACAAGATAGAAAATGCATGTCAGAGAGGCCAAAAGTTCAGTTAGAGTTCTAAGAAGGAAAAGCCCTGGAGGAAGCAGTATTTTGAGGTGGGCCCTGAAGACAGGGAGAATGTGACAGAATAGAGAGAGAGTTAGAATAACCAAAGGCAGAGATGTGAGAAATGTAAAGTTGTTTAGGGAATAATTGAGGTGAAATGGATAAACCAGTTGAGAAGGTCCGTTGGAACCAATATAGGATGACCTTAAATATCAGATAAAAGGTATCACTTTGATTTTTTTTCTTAGTTTATTATATTGATGTCAAGCCCAGCCTTACCCCAAAGAGCAGCCAAGCAGCCTAGCAAAAAGATGTTAAGATTATTTAAATAGTAATGAAAGAGGAAATAGAGTTGAGGGAGGCGTTTGGGGTGGTGGGGGAGATAAGACAAATTTGCTGACTTTGGGGGATTTGCACAGTTGACAGACTTTAATCTCTCTGACAGCTAAGGTAAAAAGGCAGTGAGATGAAGGATGTTCCTTCAGCACCTGCCCAAGGAGGAAATGTGTCATTTCCAAAGGAGAAAACACTTACCCTAGCAGAAGGTTTAAAGAGAAAAGTGAGTGGGTTTTACTCAGCAGACCATAAGGAGTGGAGAAGGATGGTAAACTTGGGAGGGGAAGTTAGAAAGATCAGAGGGTATTTGGAGCTGTCTCCTAGAATCTTGCTATTGTTCACTCAACAATAACATGTATATAT